CTGATGAATTTTCTCATTTTCCAAATTACTAGAGCATATTTGAATGGATATTAAATTGTCACCTTCCAACTTCATTTACCTGTTTGTATATTTTTTCCTTTCCCTTTTTGAGTCAACCTCATGTGGCAGCTTAGAACTTGAAAATCAGCATTAATTTGCATCAGATGTTAGGAAACAGAATGGACGTATCATGATGTCGTTGAAACTATGCTAGATCTTGAAATAATTGAGAAGCCTTCAGTTGTTGATTAATCGTTAAACCAGTAACATCAGAGATTAAATGGCAGCTTGGCTCCCTTGATGTTGCTTTGTTCTTCTAGCTTCTTCATCGTAAAAAATTGATTGTGAGCTATGACATATTGAAACTTCTTAGTTGGCAGTAGATTTAGGAATCATTTTCGTAGTCAGATAAAACCATGATTGTTTATTGTGGCCTGCTGGAATAGTAGCACATTATCTGATTGGCTTAGTGTTCTAACATATCCTTTTCTTTTGTTTTCAGTTTGGTTTTTTATGAGTTGTTGAGAAGGGAAACCTGTTGAGATATTTAAGTTACTCTGAGAAGTAACTTTCTATTAGGCCTTTCTGCTCTGGTTACGTTTCGCCAACGGAAAGCAAAAGACGACATAATTTTTGGACTTTCTGTATTGAATAATATTGAAATTCTGGACGTGAACAGTTAGAGCAAATTGTAAATGACTGTAAAATGTACGAGAAACAGGGGAGATTCTGAGGATAGAATGTTAAATGTCAATGAGAAGAGGAAGTAAAGTTTCAATAGTCTCTTATTTTTCTTTCCTCAAGTTGGCCAATTCTATGCCAGTTGCGGTCAAATTCTTAACCTGCTACACTATAGGGTCTGACATTTAAATTATCATCATCCAACTTGTAGCTCAATTTCTAAGAATTAAAAAAATAAAATTATTCTGTAAGGTAAAACACATATGGATACACTACCATACACAAACATGTAATTAAGAGATACCATCATCTCATAAATCACTTCCTACACAATCCGGCGAGTCTTGGGTCTTAATCCGGACATAAAACATGTGCGATTTCTCTATAATCACTATTACTTACATTTTCTTTTAGAACTTTGTGAGACTAGTTTGATAGGGGTACTATCTCGCTTTTGCTTTGTATCTTTCTTCTTGATTTCATGTTGTTCATATTTTTCATATTATTTCTGTGGTCTTACTGATATTGTCTCCTTTTGTCTTTTTGTCTTCTTGAGCCGAGGGTCTTTCCGAAACAACCTATCTACTCCTTCGGGGTAGGGGTAAAGTCTGCGTACACATTACCCTCCCCAGACCCCACTAGTGTGATTTCACCGGGTTGTTGTTGTTGTTGTTACATTTTCTTTTAGCACTCGTAGGCATCACCGTATACTCACAAGTAAGGAGAAGTTGGATACACTGAGAATTGGAAATCCGGTAACTGAATAACAAATAACTGGCATACTTAATAACCATAAACCGCTAGCTGAAAGACTGTATAACTGGTAACTGAGGTAAACCGATAACCATAAGACATGTAACTGCTTATGTACTTTCTGATAAGGTTATTCTCTAATCTGTACTACTATCCATTGCATCCCACTTTTAACATCCTCTCAAGTCTCATATTTACAATCTTGTACTACATAATTATACCCCAATGTGAAATTATCCTCTGTAGGACATAAGGTTTCTCCTCCGCGTCGCTTGGGCATCCAATACGTTTGGAATTCAATTGGAAGAGAAGGTTAACTATTGCTCAAAGCTTCATGGCACGATCTAGAGTAGAATGAAATGAGACAATCCTGGATGTCTTGGTAGTTAACCATTTATATGAGTGGCCGACACACACATATAAAGGAAACTCCACCGGACACGGTTTCATAGACTCCCTAGGACTCTTGAACCTAGTGCTCTGATACCAAGCTTTGTCACGCCCCGAACATGGGCCTGGACGTAACACGGCTCTCGGTTCCTGACTACATGTGATCGAGCGAACCAACTGGCTGGCTGAATCAACACGTGATATCATAACATACTAAATGCGGAAGATAAACTAACACATGCTAATATACTGAAAGTCTGAATGATAAAAATCAAAGTGTGGAAACACTAATACAAGTCTGAGTCATGTCTGTAACCAGCATTGCTTAACACAAAAAGCTTGTGACTCTGTCTAATTGATACTCTAGTCTATGAAGCCTCTAATGAAGTACTGAAAACACTGAATGTCTGAAAACTAAAGACTGTAAGATAATGATCATGCCCCGAACGAACTGGGGATCACCAAATAGCTGATACGTGAATCCTAGCGTTCTGAATCGTCAACCTGTAAATCATTACCTGCATCATGAGATGCAAACCCCGAGCAAAAGGGATGTAAGTAAATTTGAATTGCACTAGTATGTAAAGCAACTAAAAGAAAGAATTATAAATGTTAGAAACTGAAACTAAGCTGATAACTGAAAATTGATAATTGATAACTGAAATGATAACCTAAGTTGCACGGACTCTTCAATTTTGGTGTCGTCCCCGTCCCGATACGAGACTTGGACGGGTGTTGGAGCGGAAAACATCCCGGATACGGTCAACCAACTTCGGACACTTTGACCGGAGTCCATCGACAAATTTGGGAGAAAAAATGAGATTTTGATTTCTCAAAATCAAAAATGAAACAGATTTAAGTTATGGAAAATGGCATACCTTCAATGTTGTAGTATTTTTGTCTCATATTTCCTGCTTTGTGTGTCGGAGAAATCAAAAATTCGAAGTGTCATGTTCTGATTTTGTACTTCATGTAGACCTAGCAGATGTAGATGGAACTTTGCCTTGAATTGCTTTCTTTTTCTCTTACAATATATAGGGGTAATTTCTAAATTAATTATTAGCATGTTGATTTTTTGCTAAATAATTTATATATTTTAATCGCGTAAAATTAATTTATACGAAATTGTTTGCTAGTTGTACAAATTTATTGTAACTTAGTAGTATTGTATAATTTTCAAATATGTAAATTTACGATATTTTTATAGCTCTATTTTTTATTATTTTGAATTTTTTTAGCCGTATCCCCGCACCCGTATCCATATTCAGATTCGCACCCCTAAATTTTAAAATTTAGATTTTGCCAAATCCGATACTCGGAACCGTTCCCGTATCGGATACCCGCACCCGAGTCCGAGCAACTTGGATGATAACTATTGAAACTGAAGCTTAAATGATAATTGATAAGTGAAATGATAACTGATAACTGAAATGATAACTAATAATTGAATTGAACAAAGGAAGTAAGGATATGAATACTCACTCTTCTGAATGATGAACATCCTGTTTATCTGAATAAGCTACGGCCTCGGGCCCAATATATATGTGCACAAGCTATGGCCTCAGGCCCAAGGATACGTATGCATAACTACGGCCTCAGGCCCAAAAATGCATAAAGCATAAACTACAGCCTCAGGCCCAAACGTGCATAAAGCATAAACTACAGCCTCAGGCCCAAACGTGCATAAATCATAGAAACTACGGCCTCAGGCCCAAATACAGGTTTTCAACATTCAGGAACTGAGAATCACACTGAAATACATAATACTGAAAAACTGAATCGTAATGAGTTACACGATACTCGAATGCTAAATAGAACTGGACTGAGACATGTATTCATGAATTGATTATGAAAGCTGAAACTTCAACTGTTTATGACATGTTGAGTAATCTAGACTAAGACTCATGGGCATCAAATCCAAGTCTATATTAATTATTTCACAACGTTTAGAATGAAAGTCATGAATGGGTTATGAAGCTAGAGAATAGAAGTTCTACGAATATTCATGGAACTAAGACATAATTACTTTCTGAGGAAACTAGTAATAGTCATAATGAATGAGACGTAGGGAGAATCACAGACATTCCCAAACGTAAAGAGAGTTGGCCTCACATACCTCAATTTCGCCTCTTAGTGCTACTACAGTGATCCACAATACTAAGAACCTTCAATCTACAATAGCAATATCCAATGGAACCAATATTAGTAATAAATTCCATAACTTAAGCCATTTAGGCATATTATCAAACACCTTGTAGGCATAAATCTCTACATCTCATCACCATATAATTAGTTCATCCAACTACCATCATTCATCAATAATTTATTCCACCATCATGATTAACCAATTTATAACTTCCAACATCACATATATGACCATCCATCCACACCCAACCAACAAAATTCCATCAATTAATCATCTTTCAATCTCTACAATAATTATGTAATTAATTAGGGAACTTATGGCTTCCAATCACCATACAAAGAGTTCCAATACTTGTTCATACTCATATTCCCTTAATAAATTCATACATTTAAGTCTAAGGGTGTAGGATTACCTTTTTTGAAAGAAATCTTGCAAAACCCTCCTTTGAGTTCTTGAAGAAATCTCTTGAGGATCTAAGTATTTTATGTGTAGATTTCATCAATATTAGTGTATAAATTATGGAATTTCACACCAAGATAATGGGGATTGCTTATCTTGAAGATGGGAGGGGTTGGAGGTCTTGAGCAAGTGGAGGAAAACCTTAAAAGTCGTCCTAAAGAAATGGGGGAAGATGGACCCCGAAATTGTGTTTATAAGCCCAGATTTCGGACGCGGACGTGGGTGCTTCGCATCCGAGCAGTCCTCCGCTCAGGAGCTCGGATGCTATGGCAGCACTTCACTGCCAGCCCCTCTTTTCGGACGCGGCCTCGGATGCTTCGCATCCACGCAGTCCTCCGCCAGCCTTTGGTAATTTGGTCATAATTTCTTGTAGGAAAGTCCAAATGACGAACGGTTTGATGCGTTTGAAACTAAACTCAAAGACCTTTCATTTGATAGGTTGTTCATAACCTAAAGCCTTATATATTTGTAGATATTCTCGTCCAAAGTGTGGTCTTGTGCGTACTCATTTGGAATTTTAGTCTATCATGTAATTTTCCAACTTGGCTTAGACTTAGGTCTCTCCTTGGACCCCAAATCACTTATGATATGCCTCGTACACTTATTATCATAACCAATTGATAACCATCATATTAATACTCATTTAATCCATCCACAACTGAATCAACTGTGATCAACTGCGAGTTGATCTGTCATCAGAATGTAAGTGAACAATCATACTTCTCTTTTTGCGTGTAATTTGCCAGCATTTGTCTTTAATCAGTCAGTGAATAGGGATAGTCCAACTAAAGATGTAGCTCAGATTTACACTAAAGTATATTACATATTTTATGAAACTTGATTTGCTCCGAGAAATTCTTTCATTACTGTGGATTAATCAACATAGATTTGAATTATGTTTTTCTCATCGTCAAAAGCATAGATTTATGTTGTATTCCCAGTGATCTGCAGATATGTTTAGTATTGTTAAGTTTTATATTCGTGTTACTAGACCATCTTATAAAAGGCAACAGAAATTTTTAATTTTTTATGTATGTTATGAGAATTATCGTCTCTGGAATGGATTTACAGCTTTCTCTGCTCTATTTTGAGAATGATTTGCAACCATACAAAGTCATTTCCTCATGGAAGGTTCTTTCAGTTTTTAGCTGAAGTTTGGGCTCTCTATTAATTGTAGTATTCAATGGCCGGAAATGAGTCCTTTGCTGCTAGTAGCAAAGAGAGATTGCTCGCATGGGTTGATAATGACCTCATCTAGCGAGCAAGATCACTGCTGGTACTATCAAGTTTAGTGATTCTCCAAATAATGGTGCCTATTAATTTTCAGGCTTCTCTTTCCTTGTTCATTAGCAAAATAATTAAATATCATCTCAAAAAGAAGTTTCATCTCAAAGGCGTGCATTTTATTCTTCTTGAAATGTAGAGAAAGGAAATTGATACAACCTCTTAGAAGGGAAAAGTTTTGATGGTCTCTTTGCTCAAATTAAGAAGAGAAAAGCTGTTGGACATTTAGTAAACATTTATTCCGCCGTTGAAGCATCAATGTTGTTCTCAGGTTGAACATTGCCTTCATACTTTCAGTGCTTGCTCTACACTAAATCAGTGGCAGTATCTTTGGTCATTTTTTTTCCATCATTTGTCCGGCTACTTCCAATTCTATTTTTGTATAATGAATTCTAATTGTAGACTGCTCTCCACTGACACTATGTTCAACTTCAGCAGCCGAGCATTATGTTATTCTGCGGACATGCTATGCACCTAACTAGTTGTAAGTTAGACCTTCTCTACTCTGTTTCTATGTTTTGGCCTATAGAAAGTTAAAGACAGATGCAGTAACTATTCGACGTCTGTGTTGAAAATTTTGATTTGTCGGATTTGCTGTTGGATTTTTGTGTTAAATCAAACTTGTCAGAGAGAATGTTTCCCTAAACATGATAGCTGAATATTGTGTTACAGATTGCATTATATGATAATTTCTTCACCTTCACAGGCATGCGTGGAACTTTTGGTAGCACTATTACAAGCTTTAAGTCAACAAAAGCAAGCAAAGTGCAATTTCCAGCTTTGGATGGACAGTGTACTTCACTTGCTGCCCTTCATCCCTGGCGAGGGTGTCAACCCGCCCCACACTTACCCTCGTGCATCCGAGCTATTATTAGTAGTGCTGGGCAGTCTAGAAGTTGGATTGTTAGATAGTAGTAACAAGCTCTATACTTAGACTCTAAAAGTTTGTGTGCATTATCAGTACAGTACTGATTGGAATAAATCAGCTACAGTTGTTTCTGCATTTGGTAGTGCAAATGCAGGAACCATTTCACATCTAACAGCTCTGTTTACTACTTGTGTCGATGATCAGATTCTCGCGAAGTCATTCAAGTCTGATCATAACTGAACATATTATTGACTTTTTAGGAAAGGATAGAGCAGATAACTATCCAAAGTTTTAGAAAATAAGTATACTTCCGTTGCCGGGATTTTGGCAGCAATTCAGGAATTTGTTTTCAGCATTCATATGAAAAGATATCACCCAGAGCTTAGTTTTGTTTAGTTTTGTATCTATGTTATGAGAAATATCGTCTCTAGAATGGATTTACAGCTAAGTAAGAACAACTTTTCTATTTTTTAGGAATTTGATAATAGTACAAGGTTCAATTGATTGCTTTCTCTGCTCAACAATACAAAATTATTTCCTCATGAAATGTTGTTTCAGTTTTTAGGTGAAGTTTGCGCTCTCTATTAATTAAGTACTCAATGGCTGGAAATTAGTCATTTGCTAATAGTAGCAAAAGAGAGATTGGAACACAGGGATTATTTATTTTCTAATCTTCTATTATCTTTTTTATAGGCAACAGCTAAACAATTCATCAACCTTTTGATCTGTTGGCAGTGCACATAGTTGAAAGGATATTAACTTTGCAATTTTCTAAGGTACACAAACATAAATCAGAAAACACTAGTTAAGAACTTTGCAATTTTTAACAAGTTTACATTTGTTTTGTTTCGTTAAATAGTCATATGCGAACACTCATAATTTGCGAACAATTATCTACTATAACTAGGGAGATTCAAACAAATTGCCTAAACAAAATATCAACTACAAACAGTCTTTTATTATTTATTGAAGGAAAAGTAAGCATAGAATAAGACTTTTGAGAATAACAATCTCCTCAATCATATCCATCCCCATATTTGTATCTTTACACACATGGATTCCCAACAACTATCTAAAAAACGATAATAGGCATGTCTCCATGATCTCTTGAAAAGCAAACAAGAACATACTCCCCAAAAGCTAAGACCAAATCCTATTGACATTGCAATGTAGAGCCAATTCAGTTCATCTTCAATCACTCTCATCTTTTTCAGTATCAACATTAGGATTTTGACCACCTGAACTGCAGTTCGCCAAGAGTGGAAGCCCGCAAAGCTCATTTCCCTGGAAACTCGAGGAATTAAAGCTTTGAAGTTGAGTGCCCACTGGTATTTTTCCTGACAAATTGTTATAAGACAGATTCAGGAAGCTCAAAGTTGACAAACTCGATAAGCTTTGCGGGATTTGACCAGAAAGTTGATTTTCTGAAAGATCAAGGGATTCGAGCACTTTCATGTCGCCAATGCCATTCGGGATCCTACCGGTCAGATGGTTTTTTGAGAAATTACAGAATATCAATCCTACAATACTGGTAAAACTTATGGGAATATCTCCAGAGAAATTATTGTTAGACATATCCATGCTTGTAACCAATGCCAATGTTTTATCATACCGGTAAATATTGCCTTTAGTTGTCACCATTGCGCTTTCTCTCACATGTTGTCCAGCTACCTCACCAAAATACTCAATATCAGCTTCCCCCAACTTACTTTCGGCGACCATTGCTGTTAAATTGCTAATACACCTTGGTATGGTTCCAAAGAAACTATTGTTTGCAAGGTCTAAGATTTGAAGATCTTTGAGGTGACAAATTTCTGGAGGCAATTTACCATAGAATCTGTTTGAGCTAAGGCTGAGGATTATCAAATCTGAAAACTTCATTCCTAACCATGGTGGTAGTTGTCCAACGAATTCGTTCTCAGCTAAATCAATTTTCAGCAACTTTGTACAGTTTGCCAAAGGTAATGGACCAGTAAGTCTATTTCTTCGGATGTCCAAAGATTTCAAATTACTTAAGACCTCTATGGATCTTGGTATGCCTCCAATCAAGTTATTGTCCTTCAAGATTAAAACTTCCAACCCTGGCCAGTTCATCAAACAATCAGGAATTTCTCCTGACAAATTATTTCCCTCGAGGTTTAAGACCTCCAATTTGTAGGATATGTTCTTACTTGTTTCACACAAGAAGTGAGATAAACCTCCCGAAAAGAAATTGTTTGAGAGGTCTAGCTTCATTACATTGGGTGAAACCTGAGGTAGCGGACCACTGAAATTGTTGGAACCCAATAACATTAACCAATAAGGTGTTGAGAAGGTTGGAACCTTACCAACAAATTGGTTTTGAGAAAGATCCAGAGCAAAATTTTGAGAAGGTAAGTTCCAAAACCAATTCGGAACCTCACCATGTATTCCACCATTTGATATGTCCAGATACTCTATATTCTTTTGAGTTTGGAGCCACATGGGAAATAGAGGACCTATATTCCAGCCGCCTATTTCAATATGTATTGCTTGAAAAGGTGGAATCCAGTTTTGACTCACTTTTAAAGTCACATTATTGTTAGATGCAAAGAAATACCTTAATTGTGTCCAGTTGGTGAAATGGCTTTCTGTTACAACACCTTTTAACCTATTGTTAGAGATGTCAATAAGTTCTAGCATTGGGAGGCCAAGACTTTCTGGGAGAGTTCCAGTCAGTTTATTGTTTCCTAGATATAATTCCGACAAAGAAGAACTATTTCTCAATCCCGCCGGAAGGAAATTACTCCTACTGTTGAACAATTCAAATACTTCTCCCTCGAATAGATTTTCTGAGAGACCAAGCGAACGTAATTTCGATAACTTTCCAATTACATTCGGTAATTTTCCAGAAAGCATATTTTTAGAAAGGTAAATATAAGTTATTGAGCTCAAATTTGAAATCGCATTTGAAACCACTCCCTCAATTTTGTTTTCACCAAGATCAAGTGACTCAAAATCTTTGCATCGATATAACCAATTCGGGATAGTGGAGTTGAGCTTGTTGTATGCAAGATCAAGATTTCTAAGTTTTGTTACGTTTCCGGCCTCACTCGGCATCGCACCTTCAATACCACTAGAACGAAGCTCAAGATGTTCAAGATTATTAAGATCAAACAACCATCTAGGTAAAAGACAATTAAAAGAGTTGAAACTTGCCTTGAAGCTCGTGAGAGAAGTAAAGTTAATGGGACCTTCAGGAAAAGCGCCAATTAAATTACTATAACTCAAATCTAGAGAAACAAGGCTAGGGAGATTGAAAACCCATTTGGGAATAGAAGAACTAAAGTTATTCCAAGAAAGATCGAGTGTTTCAAGTGAAGAAAAATTATGATGACGTAGAGGTGGTATATGATGAAGACCACAATGCAATAAACGAAGATCGACAAGAGAAGGAAGCATGTTAATAACCTGTAGCCAGTTAGTTGCTTTGCTAAGATCCACACTAATAATCTCCAAATTCTCAAGATTTGTAAGACTTGGCAGCCACTCAAAGTTATTGATCCTTAGATCATAGCTTGTTGTTGCGTGCCAAACTCTACTGCCTATGTGAAGCTCAATCACATGACGGGTCAGATTGTGGCAGACAACTCCTTCCCATTCACAACAGTCTTTTCCAACAATCCAAGAGGAGAGAAAATTTGTGGGATCATATACTTCTTTCTTTAGACTCTCCAACGCTTGTTGCTCATTTTCTCTGCAAAAGCCAATACAAACAGTAAACTTGGTGTTTGTCAAAATGAAAAAACAGAATGTTATTGCTAACACCTTCATGATGTGCAAAGGTTTAGACTAGGAACTGAAAACTATGTATTAAATAGTTTTTTGCTTGTAGATTGTTATTAGGCCAGGCATACGTATATATAGCATTTAGAACTATAGTTGAAGAATACATTGTCTAGAAAGATATTGACCGTAAAATTCGAAGACTTGTTGATTTTAAATTAATTTGTCCTTTTCAAAACTATTCAAAAGAATATAATTGACGGACCTCAATTTCTTGCTAAGTCAAGTCTTCTCCAGAGTACAACTTTATTAAGTGTCCTTGTTTGGGGCTATTTAACACCGTCTCAATTGATGAATTGAAAACAGCTTTTAGCTCCTTTTAGTTTGTAGTGATCATTTTATATATTCATTAATTGGAGGAAAAATTAACCTTTTTTTAGTAAATAAAATTACCCATACTTGGAGGTAATTCTTTAGTTAATTCAATGAAAAATAATGATTTCTCAACTCTAAAGAGATCAAAACGTAAAATATTTTCGAACCATCAGATTAGCCAAAAATAAATGCCTCAATTTTTGGATAAAATGTATTATAAAAGGTACTCCATCAGTGTCCAAAAACAATCTTTTGAAATTTCCAACAAGAAGATGACAGCGTTGGAAAAATTTGAAGTATCAAATGTGTGTGAAACGACTGTCACATCAACGACGAAAATAAATTCCTCCGACTGAAAAAAGGGTTTAATAGAGTAAAAAGAAAACTATATGACATATAGTGGTCTATTGTCATACATCTTATAATGAAAAAAGTTATCACATAAATTAAAACAAAGATAATATACTAGTAATTTTCCTTGTTCATTAAATAGTCTTGGTAGAACAAGTCTTTCTACAAAGTCTTCTTTGCCCATTGTGCCCTTTTTTTCACGTACCAATGACTTGCTTCTATTCACTTAAACCCCTATTTTCGGGTAGAAGAATTTTCCTTCACTGTCTCACACTTTTGATGCGCTAAACCTCAAAGATTTGGGACCAAAAACAGTTAGTGATAATCATTGAATAAGTTTCATCGGGTTGAAGTGGATTAAAAGCGCGGAATGTATTCGCACCATCACAGTCTTTCTAAGTTGTATATAGCTTCCTTTTAGATACTTCAATTGTCTAATTTATACAATTCATCATTATTAAACTTAACATGATCAGTTACGCACAAATATCCAAATTGTAAACAATATTTAAATAGCAGCATGAAAGTATTCCCTTTTGTGCAAATTTCCCCCTTCTATTTGTCTAGTAGATCCAACATGGAGAAAAGGTCTTCTAACATCTATTTTATATGAAGTTAATGATAAATATATTTATCAATTTATTATCTATTTGATTTTTATCTCTTTTCTTTTCTTTATTATGAAAGGACAATAATTGGTGAATCTAGTAGATAGTTTTCATTTCATCAAGGTGTACTCCATTATGAAGTCTTCGTCTTTGTTTTTTTCTTCTTAATACTTGACAGGACATTAGGAAGTCTTTCTACTAGATTCACCAATTATTTGCCGTTAATGGTGTTTTTTTTATCTCTTTTCTTTTCTTCGTTTGAAAGCTTGTGTTTGATTTGATGAAAGAATTTTTTGATTGGAAATTGGTTGGTGAATATAAAACAGTTAAGAGAGTTGTAAGAAAAATAACTTTTGTCCATAAGCGAGGG